CGGACCAAACTCACCCGTAATTGAAAAATTCCCAAAATACCCCACTCATAGACCCCTTAGTTCACTCGACCTCATTGCAACAAACCTCAAACTGTCTCCTCTCTCCTTCCCCTCGTGCAGCCTCGCTTTCCCGTGGATCTCTATTACGAGACCCAGCAGGAGATGGCCAAGCACAGAGTATAATAGGGCGGCTGTGGGACAAAGCGACCGAACATCCTGCTTCAACGGGGTGCCACTGTTGTTGGGGGTGAGCGGGAGCGATGTTTGACGCGCCTGCTTGAATGGTCACCAACGGCGCAGTCCCCTTGGTGGCTTGGAAAAGGATGTTCGACGGCGGCTGCTTGGTTAAGCAAGCTCGTCTCTTTGGTTTGGAGGATGGGGGATGCTTGGCGCCATTTATGCCGGCTACTCATGCAGCTTGTTTATTGATTGCTGTGGACGACGAGGGGAAGCAGGGATGAGGTGTCGATGGAGGGCTGATCGAGGAGCGTCGACAGTTTTCCCCTTCCACTACAAGAAAGCAAACAAGCTCGTCTCGTTTTTATTGCCATCCAACCAAAAGCAAGCTGGTCCATTTAATTCAATTTTTCAAGCAAGCTGCTCCATTTTATTAAACCAAGTACAAGTGTATTATTACCGTGGAAGCGAGTATGGAAACTTTGGAGCAAAATACGAGCCAGTTCCGACGGAAGTAAGGTGAGTGTAAAGTGGGTAAATTCTACGCCTTACGATTTTTCATATATTTGTCTTGAGGATTTTCAAATATTGATTTACGTGATGTATGTGTAGTGTTTGATTCATGTTTGAGATTGCATGATTATGTTTGATAGTATGTGCTTTGGTTGAGCTATGATTTGAAGTGAAGATGTATGAGTTTATCTCTTACTTTAAAATTTACGTTTATGAGTGATTATTAAAGCTTAAGAACAATCCCTTTTAAGAAATACTTCACCTTCGAAGAAGGTGAAATCGTTTTAAGTGTTTTTAGTCAATAGCGCCAGTCCGTTGCTATTTGAGATTTTCAGATAGAGCAGCAGTTACGTCTTGATATCTTTGAGACAAAGCAACAGTTATGCTCTTGAGATATTTAAGTTGAGCAGCAGTTATGCTCTTGAGATTTTTAAGATGAGCAGCAGTTATGCTCTTGAGAATCATGGAAGAAGAGCCTTCCACGGTAAGTTTAAGTTTAAGGAAAGTCTTGATGGCTTCTCATACGTATGAGTTGGCAACCGGACTAGCTAGTGAGGGATCCTCGTTTCAGTCAAGTATTTAAGCTGAGATTTAAGCTTTAAGAATGGAGAGTAACACTTACTCCCATACAGTTTTAAGAGTTAAGTTTTTTTTTTTTAAGAATGGAAGTACAAACAACTTCCCTCAGTTTGAGTTTAAGTGTTTCAGAAGAAGTGCAAAATTATTAGAAAGTTTAAAACGTAAGGGCTTAGTAAGGGAATGAGCGAGAACCAGATTGGTAGCAGCTAGCTAGAGGAGCAGATAGTGAGCAGCGAGTTCGAGGGCAGCTAGCTAGAGGGGAGCAGTGTAAGCGTCACGGAGGATGCTTAGTCAAGGTATTCAGTGGCAACAACATTAGAGATTATTAGTTATTTACATTTATGATTATGAGTATAGATTGGAGATCATTTTGAGATTTTAAGTATTAAGTTTGTCCATGTGTTAGGGCGTTGCTTTAAACTCCAAGTGTGTGTTTTCAGTAGTTTATTTATGGAAATTCTTCTCGCTGCAATTTAAGATTTGAGTATTTTATTTATCAATGGCATTTTAGTAAAAGTAGTACCCGGCCGGGTTAGGGTGTTACAACCACTCTGGATTTCAATTGTCGATAGCCTTGTGACATTATGGATGACACACTTGTGTGTGTTCACCGTGCGGGATATGACCCAATGGCCAACTCTCTTGCTCTTGATGGCCGTACCCTAGCCTTGCATCCCTCGTGTTGATTTTGGCATCTAACTATGAGCATATTTGTGTCGGAAAGAGTTATGTGCCATTCAAAACTCTGAGTCATCGCTTTAGTGTCAACAGCGTGTCGCACCTCCTTCTTCGTACCAAATTGTTGGTACTTTGTAAACGTAGTTAGTGGACCCCATACTGGCGCCTCTGAGTAATGTGATTGTAGTACGTGATAGGCGCACATGGTCACGAGAAACCTCATCATCATTCGAATCTGAATCTGAATATGGGCTTGAATCATCAACACCTTCAAGAGGGTCGAAGCTGTATGCACTAACATCGCCTTCCTTCTCTTCATCCTCAAATTTATTAACAGGACCTGGCAGGGCATCTTCCATCTAATCCAGATAATAAAAGACACTTTCATCAGCTCCGTAATGGTAGTTGTGATAACTACCGCTGCCTGCATAGAAGTTGTACTCTGGTTGTTATTGGTAGCCTTCTTGTTGGTTGTCATGGTACTATTGGGCTTCTTCTTCATATGATGGAAGGATTGATGATGAACACCGCCTCCTTCTTGGTACTCATGATAGGAGGATCATGGTAACCTTGGTAGGATGATCTTTATATAATCCACCTCCACCGTGGATACCAGATGTTTGCCTATCTCTAGAATGACCTCCACCGCCTTCGACCGCCTTGGTGTAAACAAACATCTCTGCTTTGGAAATGTTATTGGCGATCTAAAATTCGACTATGGCATCTACTTCCGCCTAAGTGGTTATTAGGAATTCCTCATGCCACAACGACCCTTCTTCTCTGTTTGGATATTGATACACCATACGATCAAATCTCCTCGTCCAATCCATGCAAGTAACCTCAGTGCACATTTGACGGAGCTCTTCAAGGACCGATCTCGTAGCGAACTTCACTTGTAAAAATTACCATTGATATACGTACCCCCTTGTCGGTCTCTTCCATATAATCATTCCACCGTAACCCAAGTGTGAATTTTTTGAGTGCCTTCTGCAATAAAATAGTAAGAGGGGTGAAGTGCTGAGGTTTCTGGGGTTGCCTTTTATAAGCAAAATGTCAAGTGAACACCCCCCCCAGCGGTTTGTACTAGACATGCAACCCCACACCTGCAACCCCCTGTATGCCGACATGTCGGCTATCGGGGGAATGGGAACTACACACAAACCGCACCCCCTACCCAGCGGTTTGTGTGTCGACAACATAACTTACTTGTTGAAGGAGCAGTTTCTATTTACGACGTAGAACCGCTCCATCAACAAGCAGTCCGTTCTAGGTCAGCCGCATAACTGGTTTTGGGAGGGTGGTTTGTGCCAAAACTGTATATCGCCACCTCATCATGCGGTTCTGTCACAAGCCGCCTCCCCATGCTACGGTTTCGATGAAATGGTGTTATTTTTGTAATTTTTCCGCCCTGGATGGTATTAATGGAATTTTTTGTTAACAATGGTATTTCTGGATAAATCCCCGAAATTTGCGAGAAGGGTAATTGTGTTTGAGGACCAAGTTGTAATTATGCTATTAGAACCTAATTTTCCTACTTCCGAGCAGCTATGTGAACTCGGAAAGGGTATATTAGGAGGTGGATTTCGAGTGTGTGTATTCCGTAGTCACTAATTGAGAAGATTAATAATAGTTCAGCGGAGACCTTTGGCTTTTTTCTGGAGTAGTTTGGATCACATTTAACGGGAAAACAGAGCACTACTACTATGCTATATAGTATTGGTGCTTTAATGTACAACTTGAAGTTGTACCATAACATTAAATGTATAAGTTTAAGTTGTACCATAAAGGAATTTGTATCATTATGTTATGGTACAACTTTACAACTTGAAGTTGTACCATCACATCAATGTACAAGTTTAAGTTGTACCATAAAAGAATTTGTACAAAAAGTATAGGTACAATCTGAAGTTGTACCATAACGTTAAAGGTACAATTTCAAACTGTACCATAAAGACAAAAACCTATAGCACCAATACTATATAGCATTGTAAAATTCCTCCGGGAAAACAATGTATATCATTGTTTTGTATGCTTCTGTATTTAGTTTATTTTATATTGTATCAGAGCGGGCTTAGATCTACACCTATACAGCTATGGCTACTAGGGGAGAAGGAATTTCATACTACAAGAACGCGGTCACCAACTTGATACTATCTCACTGACTTCGCCCCTCCATCTTCATTCAAGGCCCGACCCATGCTGGTCTGATCCACAATACTGGGACTCAAAATATTTGGGGCCTCAACTTGACCCACATATTAATACATAAATATTTAAAAAAAATTAACCTGAGAAATTGGAATGGGCTGGCGAATTGGAATGAGCCCATTTGCAGCTCTAAAATGAGGCCCTTCTTTTTGTTTTGGGCCGAGTGGTTCTTGCATTCTAACCAATTTTTTGTTTTTTAGGGATTTTGCTTGGAAATTTGGCTTAGTGCTAGTTGATTGCCGAATGGATGATACAATTGAGAATATGTTGGTAATTACCTTCTTAGATGATGCAAAAATGAAAGAGCTAATAGAGGATTTTATTTAAAATAATGCTAGACGTTGTTAGATTGTTACTTTTCAAACAATGATTGATAATATTATTCCTTTTGTAATTATTTTCCAAACTTATGTATTTATTATTATTAAATAAATTTTATTTTTAATAAATTTGTGGAGAAAAAATTCAAGGCCACATTTTTAATTTTAGTACAGAGCCTTCGAATATCATGGGTCTGCCCTCCTTTATCCTTCAAAAATATGAACAAAGTATTTAGAAGGGATCTTCTGACTTATTTTAATTATGGCGAATAGGTGAACAACATGACAGAAACCCTAATCAATTGCATACCTTTTTGTAGGGGTGGGATTCGGTACGCCGGTAAACGGTTTACCGTTTTACCGAACCGTTTACCGGCGGTATCGGCGGCCGAGCGGCGAATTGGGTGGGTCGGTATACCGAAACCGGTATCGGTAAATACCGACGGTAATTCGTTAATACCGAATACCGAACCCCAAAACAAGCGGCGATCATCGAGCCTCCTCCCCCACCTCCGCCAGCGCAGACGAATTTCGCCAATCTGGCTGGGTTGCTCACAGTTCCATCAGGATGGAAGCCAGGGATGGCTGTGGAGTTGCCTAAAGATTTGCCTCTGCCACCACCAGGATGGAAGCGTGGGGACCCATTGCCGCCATTGGATTCTATTCATATGCCAAGGATACTGGAACAACATGTGGGTCCTGCTCGAGGGCTGCCTAAACAGCCTGAGACCATACAAGTTAAACATGTCCAGATTGATATTGAGGATCATGATGAGGATAACAGTGATTACACCAGCAGCAAGGAAGGCAGTTCTGAATTCTGATGATGACGATTGAGGGAGACATGCGTTTTTGTGAAGTGGTGGATGATAGAGTGCCTTTGTGATGCTGAAAGATGAAGGTTAGCATAGCACTCTTTTTATTGACGGTGAAAAATTTATGCTTGTGATATTGCAGTCGGTGTTAACATGTGGTGAGGTGCTGCAAGTTTTGCATTCTGGTTAGTAATATAATGTAATAACTGTTAAGCTGAAGTCCTGAATCCCGATGTTTAGTTTTTTGGGAACCATACGGATTTCTACTTCCCAAAAATAAAAATATAACAACATCTTCCCCACTAACAGAATTTCGGTTCGGTAAATGGTCGGTAAACCGAACCGAAAAACCGCCCCACGTCGCCCTTTGCGGTAATTCGGTAAACCGGTTTGTAACCGTTTACCGGTAATTCGGTAATCGGTAAACCGGTTACAAACCGGTATCGGTAAACGGTAAACAGTTTGGCCAACGTCGGTATACCGAAACCGGTAAATTCGGTAAACGGTTTACCATTTACCGACCGATTCTCACCCCTGGCTTTTTGGGGCTTAGCATCCATTTCAGAAGAAGGTAAAGATTACTATAGGATTCATGTTCTCTAATTCCACCAGCGTCTTATTCATCATAGGAGACTATTACTGTCTCATCCGTGTCTCCAATTGTTTTTTATTTATTTATCTTCTTTTGTAATTAAGTGGCATAACCACTATTTAAGATAGAGATGGGACATAAAGTTTAGTATGACAAACACTAAACATGGCGCTATTCTTGTAAATTAGCTAAATCGCGGAATGAAACAACACAACGATTTAACGTGGTTTCCCCATTCGGTGTGAATGGGACTATTACACGGAGAGCATACGCTCTCAGCTGATCTCTTATTATCACATAGCTAAAAAACTGCTCTTCCTCAATATATGCAGCAGACATACACGAGCCAGCCTTATATACCTCTCACGTAGGTATTAGGGTACAAAAACAGAAGAGTATTGTTAGGTCCTTCAACTATATAATATATACAACGCGGTCCGGTTCAACACTCCCCCTCAAGCGAGGCGTGAAAATCTCGAATGCCCAGCTTGGACAACAAGAACTGAAAATGCTTAGTCCCCAAGGCTTTAGTAAATATGTATGCCGGTTGAGACGCGGTCGAGATCTTTCTGGGCGCAATTTCCTTTGACACAACTCGCTCTCTAACAAAGTAGAAATCCATCTCCACATGCTTCGTTCGTTCGTGAAAAACTGGCCGGCTGCAATGTGCAGTGTTGCCTTGTTATCACAGTAAAGCGTTGTGGGTCGTGCTTAAGCCACTCCAAGCTTTGCAAGTAGGAATCGGAGCCATAAGACTTCGCTAACCGTGCTTGCCATCGCCCTGTACTCCGCTTCAGCTGATGACCGAGAGATCACTTTCTATTTCTTTGTCTGCCACGAGATTGACGCGTCACCTAATTGCACATAGAATTACCCGTGGTAGACCTGCGTGTTGTCTGGAAACCCACCCAATCTGCATCACATTAGGTTGTGAGCTCGAGCTTCCCTGTAGATGGGAAAAATAAGCCATGTCCTAGCACTCTCATGGCTGCTACTACATGCTCTAGACTAGGATGACTAATTAACTGCGAGAGAATATTCACTCCATATGAGATGTCGAGACACATTACCATCAAATACAACAGGCGCCCAACAACCTGTCCATAGTTGCTAACATCGTCGGCTATCTCATCCGTTGGTTTGGTAAGTGTGTGATTCCGCTCCCTGGGGAAATTGCTTGGTCGCACCCCAATGACACTTGCATTATTTAGAATATCCAGGGTGTACTTTCTTTGACTCACTACAACCCTATCTGCAAACCTTGCAACTTCTATCCCAAGAAAGTATTTCAGGACTCCCAAGTCTTTTATGCTAAATTTTTTTGTCCAGAAATGCTTTGACTGTAGCAATGAAGGCTTCATCTTTCCCTATCAAAATCACATTGTCAATATAAATTAGTGCCACTACAAAAAAATTCACACTACGGTAAAGAAAAAGAGAATGGTCGGCCTTGGAATGCCTGAATCTAAGCTGTGTGAGTGCTTTTGTAAACTTCTGGTAACAATTTCGTGTTGCCTATCGCAGCCCATAACGACTTTGTGAGCCGGTATACCCTGGTGTCACCCAACTCTCCGAATCCCGGCGGCCACATCATGTAAACCTTTTCTTCCAGATCTCCATGCAGAAATGCATTATTTACGTCAAGTTGATGCAGTGTCCATCCTCGGTTGACTGCCAGGGCAATGAGAACTATGACTGTGACAACCTTGCCTACTGGGCAAAAGGTGTCATGGAAGTCTATTTCTTCCAAGATCCAACTAAGGGAAACCCTTTGCCACCAGCCGCGCCTTAAAGCGCTCCACTGATCCATCCTGGTTGTATTTAACTTGGAATACCCATTTCACATCAATTACCCTTTTCTTTGCTGGCAGATGAGGCATGAACCATGTGCCATTTGCCTCGAGTGCTGCGATTTCTTTCCTCATGGCCTCTCTCCATCGAGGATCCTTCATCACCTCTAAGAATTATCTGGGCTCCTCGACCTTGCTGATGGCCACTAGATAAGCTTTATGTTTCGAAGAAAACGGATGGTAGCTTACATGGATTGACGTTGGATACTGCACTCCAGTACTTCTATCTGTATGTCTAGCGAACTCAGTATCACAGATCTCCAGCAATTCTCTCGACCGACGTCGCTCCTGAGTCCCGCAACATGGAGCCGGCTCGTGGTGCTCTCCCATGTCAACTCCCACATTGACCTCCTCTTCTTGTGTGACTTCACCCTCTTGTACGGCTACTTCGCCATCAGAGGTGTCCTAATGTTACTCTCCTTACGGGTAGGGTGCATATCTCCATCATTACTGGTCACGTCAACATGCATGTGTGAGAGGACCATCGTTGTTGGCGCTACCTCGTCGTCCTTCCCATCGTTTTTTAAAGTGAAGTTATACTCAACAAAGTGATAATCACGCGAGGTGATGATTCGTCGCGACTAAAAATCATAAACCCTATAACCCTTCTGCGAAGCTGGGTACCTCACAAAAACACTACGTCTCCCCCTCTCGACGAACTTGTTGAGACGGTGACTCGTTTCCTTTGTGTAGACAAGGCAACCAAAACATTGTATGTGCCGGTATAGCGGAATCCGCCCAAGCAAGACTTCGAAAGGTGTCTTCCCTCCTATTACCTTTGAAGGTAATCGATTTATTAAATATGTCGCCGATAACACACATTCTCCCAAAAACGCATAGGTAACCAAGAATGGAACCGAAGTGCCCGGGGTATTTCGAGAAGATGGCGGTGCTTACGCTCCGCTATCCCATTCTGTTGTGGGGTGTTGACACTAGAGGTGTGAAGAAGAATTCCATGCTGTTCATATTACTCCAATAAAATTTCGGACTGAAATTCGAGCCCGTTGTCTTTTTGGATGCGCCAAACTCGCCCTTTAAATTGTGTCTGTACCATCTGTCATAAAAGAAGCATTTACCTCTCAACATCTAATTTAAACTTAAGAAAATACACCCAAGTAGCTCGACTGAAGTCATCTAGAATTGTCAAGAAATAACGGGACCCATCAAAAGTCGGGGTTCAATAACTACCCCAAATGTCCATATGAATAATCTTAAAACAAACACTAGTCTTTATCGAATGAGAAACAAAAGGTTCTCTTGTGAGTTTAGCACGAAGGCAAGAATCACAATGCTGCCCTATGAGTTTGATCCAACAAAGACAAACTATCTTTCAAAAACTGAAACTTCTGAACCGATGGGTGTCAACCTAGCGTGCCAGAGCTCCATTGACTCCTTTTTCGTTGCGCCCACGAAAACACCAGAGGAATTCACATATCATCCATCCCAATCGTAGTCTTGGAGTGTGAGTCCTGAATGACGCACATATCACCTGCAAAAACCAAGTTCATGTGATTATCTCTAGGTAGGTGACTAACTAAAATCGTTCCATCCGGGATGTAAACTGAGGGATAGGAACTAGTGCTGTCAACTTGACTTAACCAACCAACATCACGTACTATATGCTCATTACAACCAGAATCAAGGAGTCACTCATATAGTTCAGGGGAGTTACCAGCCATGTGTGTAGTTGGTTCTGAAGCCGGAGGTGTTGGTGCAGTCAATAGTTGCTTAAATTGGGAAAATTGAGTTGCGGAGATACCCGTAATAGGGCTCTGCTCGAGCTCGACGTTCGCTGCTCGTGGTTGCTCAGGCTTGCCGTCGTCTTTTCCTCGACGTTGGGTTAAGGAAACTCCATGCTCGTCTTGGCGATTTCTCCCTTCCTCACCAGGATAGCCAATCAGTTTGTAGCAAGCTTCCTTGAGGTTACCAAGTTTTTTTTGCAGTGGCTGCACCTTGGTACCTCCCCAATCTCCTTGTCTTGTCGACTCAAGATGCAGCTACTTCTATGGACAGACGTCTCCCGCCCGTAATGTGTCGCTGTTGCTGTTTGGTACCCACAAGTTGGTAAGCCTCGGTCAACAATAGGATTAGTTTGGTGCGCAGAATATGCAAGCGCTCCACGACAAACGCGTCGTTTAGACCCAACAAAAAGTCGAACAACCTTTTGGCTTCTTCCCTTTCTCTAACCTGGCGCGCAATATCACATGTGCAATTCCCACATGAACAACCTGGGTTGAGAGAAACATAATGTAGCTCATCCTATAACGCGTCACAAGCTTCAAGTAGAAGGCAGACATCGAGAGCTTCTCCTGTCGCAGCGACCTGATCGAACGACGTAGCTCAAAAGCCAGGGTGGTCGAGCCCTTGCCAAACCTTTGCTTGAGATCAGCCCATATTGCGCATGTCGTCCGCTTGGCCCTGACGCTATTACTAACCTCTTTGCTCATGGTTGTCTTAAGCCAGCACTTTATTGTGGCGTCACATCTTCCCCAAGCTTCATCCCTGATGTAGGTCCTACCTTCGATCGAGGAAAGCTGCCATCGACAAACACCAGCTTATTCTTTGCGATTAGGGTTTCGGTCATATCTCTTACGCATTCGCTATAGTTCGAATTAGTCAAGAGATCACTTCCAAATAATTGGCCTGGATTCTCTGACGGATTAAGATAGAGTGGCAATGTGAGTGGGATGACCTCAGCGTCGGTTACGACGCCCTTACCACCCGAACCGCAATCTTCTCCGATAGTCATGATTGTAGTACTCTCTGATA